TGCTAAATTAGGAACGGTTAGCGCAGGTAGCCCTCGTGTAGCTTTGCGCGAAATTCAAAACAAACAAACACTGCTAAATTAGGAACGGTTAGCGCAGGTAGCCCTCCGTAGTTTTGCGCGAAATTCAAAGCCTAACCAAATCAGTAAATAAATGACCACTTTTAACATCAGAGTCAATATTATAATACTTATTTGAAGGTTTCGAACAATTTTGTTAAGAAATACAAGTAAGCCCCTTATTGTGGAGTTTTTATATACCATTTACTTATTGTTCATGAGGAATCTAGTCTGCCAGTGAAACTAAAATAATGAGAAATATCAACTGACATAATATTTAGTAGAACCTAAGTAGATCACTTGATCATATTTTTTTTCTTTGTACCTCGTTGGAACAGCGGTAAACTTACGACTTACAAAAACGTAACGTGGGTTCAATTCCCCGTGCAGGACATAGCAAATAGTCCACTGTAGCTTTTCTCTAAAATAAAAAAAATAAAAAATAATTTTATTAGATTAAAAGAAAGATAAAGAATTGAGAATTTGGTTTTAGTGACTGTTTTTGATTTTCTTTACATAAATTTACATCTTATTGAAATACATTAACCAGTGCAACATGTTAGTTGTTAGTTATAAATCAATGTTAAAATAAATTGTGGTCTTTTCTTTAACAAAAATTAGCTGTGAAGAATATAATTAAAAAAGAAAAATAGTTACATTGTTTTATAAGGTTTTTTATCCAAAGAGACTAAATTCTTTAAGAAAGTAATTCTGTTCTTCTATATAGTAGCACAATAGTTTGATCTTTATTTCTTGCAATTCCTTTTTTTTTATCTTGTTTAGAGATCAACCTTAGGTAGCGTAAGTTCTATTTTCAGTTGGCCTTTTATTTGAACGTGATTAAATTAAGGTTTTTCAGGAGCCTCAAGAAGCAACAGAGAATACTTATTTTAATTCACATTTTACAATCAACTTAAACATGTTTGTTTTCTATTCTCAATTACTAATTAATTTTTATAAAGTTACAGCTAACACAAAATGTTCTCAATGATTATCCAAAACAAATTATTTATATTATTTCAAAATACATCCTATATACGGGTTGAATACATCTTATGTACAGGTTAAATAGTGTTGTTTTAACCTGTAGAAACCAAATGATGTATATAATATGCACATTTATAATTTAAAATGCCCTCGATAATAAAAACTAATACAACTGTGCCTTATGCTGCAATAAAAAACTTAATTTTATGATATTGATTTTTTAAATACTAATGGTTAATTTTCTTCAGTGTATGATTTTTATACTTAAGTGATCCTAGTTTAACCAGAATTTTGCGTTACACTTGATATCCGAAGTTATTTCCGATGTTGTCAATTATAATAGTTGAAAAAAATTAGATTGGTTGGTTACTATATTATTTTGTCAGTCTTTGAAAAGCATTTACCTCATACGAATAAACTAAAAGATCTATACTTGTATTATAAAATTTCAAAATTTCACTATTTTACAGCTAGTTTTTAATATATTTTCAAAGAAACTAAAACTATTTTTTTTAAATATCTGTCTTTTCTCACTAGTTAATAAAAAAAGTGTTCATGAAACTATAGGAATTAGTTCTACTCAAGTGAAACCAACTTTGCCACCGAAACCTACAAAAGCTCCACCCCCATACAGAGCCCCACCACGCCCTCCAGTGGCAGCATTTGGCTTTAAACCATCAGCAACTGTATTTGATGGAAGTCGAACTTTGACTTTACTACCTGGGACTGCTGAGGAACCCACATCAAACAAAGAACTTGTACGTATATAAGAACGTTGCGAGTGTTGTTAATGAGGTTAACCTTTAAATAATTAATTGTCTGCAGGCTTAATGGTTAGCATTTTTGAACTGTGAATCCACAATTCGGGACTGTGGTTGTGTTACAATTTGGTCAGACAAGAGTAGCCCACTATTTGCTGTTGACTAACTGACTTCACTCTAATCTGTTAGTTAAAACCTGTGGACGGCTACGCTTTGCGCAAAACCTTTGAAACAATCAGATTTCCTACCTAAATTTACGTTTTATATTCTTTTATTTTACTTAAATAAACTCCCTAAATCTCTAAATTGTCGTTCTAGTACACAAAACAGTGCTTTCATTTGGGAATATCTTAAAACTGAAATCTAACTGTTGCAGAGCTGTAGCGCCCTCTGCTGAGTACCTCGGAGATGTCAAAGAGTGCAAACATTTGTTGTTTTCTTTTGTTTAGGATAGTTTGTTTAAAAACAAATCGCTGATCGTAGGTGACGAATAAAGTGAGTGTGAAGAAAATGTGTTTTAATTCTTTTCGTATTTAAATTTAAAATATTCCCAATTATCTTTAATTTATAAGTAATCCATGATTTTGCTTATAAATGATATTTTTTCAGTAAATTCGCCATTAGATTCAAAATGTTCAACATTCTGAAGAAAACTAGCCAAAAAGTTGCTTGTTTATATTATTCCAATAAAATGGTTTTCTGCTTATGTCAAGGAATATCAACATTGTGATTCTCACATGACAACATCAACTACGACATTAAATGGTCAAGTTTCATCAACGAACCGAATTCCCAGTTTATCTAAAGCCTTTCGTCTACAGAAGATTAAGAACAGAACACCTTGTAAAGATACTGGCCATCAGGTAGTGAGAGCACAAGCTTGGGTTCAAGATCAAAAGGTTGGATTAATTCATATAATTACTAGTTATTATGTTAATTAAAGTCGTCCAATACAAAGCCATATCTTTAATTCTGTAGAACATCAGCAATACCACACTTAAACGGAAGATGTAAACTTTTACTTTTTACCGCTTAACACACTCGGGGTGCCCTAGATTGAACACAGAAATTAATAATCCTCGTTCTAAGTACCATATTTAGCTAAAATATTTCGTTTAATAAAATGTATAACCTGATGTTTTTTATAACTATATAAGACTTAATCTCTCTGGGCTGAGAAGAGTTGATGTATTCGAAACGTCAACACCCAACTGGTCATTTCCCAAATATCAGTTATAATTTTTCCAATTCATAATTTTTTTTTATGTCAAGTCACAATACTGATTAATAAAAACATCAGTATTGAAACCATAAACCTACTAAGTTTGAATTTCGCGCTATTTTACACTTTAGATTAAAATTCAATTAATCACTTCTGATGATGTAATCACAAAAACGTAAGTTCTTTGTGATTGGAAGTTCGGTTTCAATTGAGTATTATGCAGCAGTGATAAAATTAAGGGTGGCCATACATGACCACTACGGGTCATTAATCTGATCATTTAGCTCACGTGCGCATAAGGTACCATTCAGATTGAAAATTCAAATTTTTTATAGGCTAGAACATCACCATTTAGAAATGTTATAATAGCGACTATACCAAAATTAGTAATGTATCAATTACTGCTTCTTTACTCAGAATTGTAATTCAATTTCACATAGATTTCTGTATTTACGTGAAGTATTTGGTGTGTGTTGTATTTCACACAAGCAGCATTGTTTTTGTGAACTAATTTTATAAAAGTAGTTGAGGAATGAAATTTATATATATTATTCATAACTCACTAACATAATGCTTAACAATGATGCATATGTACATACATATCAAGTTAGTTAAAAGTAGATATTACATATTAGAGACTGAATCTATTGTGCAAGTTATAATAAGACTGGGTTTATCCTGTCCTGGATTTCGGAGCTGGTGAACCGGATTCGAATCCACATGGCACCACAAAACATTACCTGCACTTTAAACTGTGGGTGCGTTATAAGAGTGTCAGTCAATCCCTTAACATGGATGGTAGATGACGAGGTGCTGTTGACTAACAGTAGTTCAAAATTAGGGACTGCGGCAGATAGCATTAATAACTTTGCTATAAATACAAATAAAACCTGCATGCAGTGAAGGTTTTATATATAGTAGAATATAATAAAATATTGCATTAAATGTGCAACATTTTAACAAGTGAACAGTGATTTAGTCCCCTAAATGTAGACAACGCTTGAATATTTTCTTATTGAAATCAAATGTTTTAATTATATATTCAAAGGCATTGCTTAGGTTATAGCTCTATTTTATCCCATAGATATATTGGATAATGTTTTTACTCACTAATTTGTCATTAAATACGAAAAAAGAAGTCTATGGGTTCCAACAGTTTCGAATATTCAGATATTTCTTGTTAACTTTGTATATAGAATATTAGTAGGCCAATCAGCGACAAGTTTGGATCTTTCCAACAGAAGCTACGGTCTCTCCTGAACCATAGTCCATTAGATGGTAACAGGAAAAACGAAGAACAGAAAGAGTCAGTAAGTCAATTTCTTTATCATTAAGTAATATATATTACCTAAGATGAGGTTTAAGTCATTAGTCATTTTTAAAACCACAATTGAAACTGTATCATGTGGACATTCAGTTCAATGATCGATACAAAATAATTATTAGTTGGATTTGAAAACATGCTCCATCGTTTGATCATCAAAATGTTTAAATTTCGTCTTAACGAATCATTAAAATTTTCTATATACTTTGTAAATACCTTCCTTTTACGATTTAAATATATATATATACATTCTATTTAATTTATATTTAATTTTATTCGTCGCATTTCAGGATGTTAAAGATATTCCATAATATATTTTGTAACTTAAGGTTACGTATAACAACAGGGTCATCTTAACTGTTTCAATAACAAAATTCATTTTAACTGCTGATAAAAAATATGCAAAATGCACCGTTTCATCAGTTGGGTATACCATAGCTATTTTTTAATGCTAAAATTCGGGGTTCAATTTTACATTCTGGACAGAGCGCAGATAGCCCATTGTTTAGCTTTCTGCAAAACAACAATGAATATTAGCTACTACGATATTTTCGGCCGTAAACCCAGTAATAACTTACAAGGTTTGGCCAGCCCAGGAGGATTACACTAGTCCTAAATTCATATACTAAGCTAACAATGCAGAACAATCATTATAATAAAATAATAGATATAATATTGATTTAGAACTAACAATGAATAATAGTTTATATATATATATATACATTTTTAAATATTCTGATCAACATTGTGTTTTCGCCTATGATGAAGTTTCATTTGTTTAGGCTAATAAAAAACTAAGAAGTATCAAACCGTGATAAAATTTATACTTGACTCGGCCTGCTTAGTAGACTTAGGTTAGTCGTGGACTCATAAAATCACCAAGCTATGTAAAATGATGTTTATAATAAGAAAATATCAAAATAAAAATTAGTATTATGTAGAATAGTCATTATAGTAAGATAATAAACGTTAAAAATAAAATTAAAGGATCTCGAAATCGATCAGTAGAATAACAAATCGTTTTGTCGTTAGGTTTAAACAATAACTGCCCCACCCAGTGACATAGCGGTAAGTCTGAGGACTTACAACGCTAGAAACCGGGTTTCAATACCCGTGGTGGGCAGAGCACAGATAGCTCATTGTGTAGCTTTGTGGTTAACTTTAAACAATAATTCAACAATTGACAGGATATGTTTAATTATATTACTTCAAAATATACTTTTAAACAAAGTAATGCAAAACATTTTTTTCACTAACTACTTACATTTAATTACTCTTACGTTTAATATACTTATGTTGAATATTCTGTGAGTGTAAGTTGTTTAATTGTTTGGGAATTATTCAGTTATCAAATTTTGTATTTTATACTTATCGCAAATATATTCAAGTACGAATACTTTATCTATTACTTCTACTGTCACTCATTCAGAGAAGTATGTCCCTCCCAACACCCAGTTGTAGTCAAACTCGCGGAAATGCAAGGTCGCAATCTGGACAGAGTGCTCCCCAAGAATTTTACGTTAATCATCATAATTCCAGACGACCAATAACGAGAGATCATAATCAACGGGAATCTTTTATCGAAGCACTAGGAAAAAGGTAGGAGTAAAATTTTATTTTTTTATTTCCCACTTTATTACGTGACGCATCGTTGTTATTGTTGATTAATCAACATAATATTAGGAACAAAAGAAAATAATACATTTTGTTTTTCTGATATCGTTCATATTTTAGAAACCTACCGACTATTATGCGATACCACCAGATGAAAGTTCTTGTTATAATTTAACCATAAATTGGTATATATATATATATATATATATGCGTTTTGGGGATGTCATCATCTTTAGGTTTTAATTTTATGATATATCGTTATTTCTCTGTGTGGGGTAAGATCATGTTTTATATATCACTACTCTATTGTGTTGAGTAAGATCATGTTTTATATATCACTACTCCATTGTGTCGAATAAGATCATGTTTTACATATCACTACTCCATTGTGTCGAATAAGATCATGTTTTATATATCACTACTCCATTGTGTCGAGTAAGATCATGTTTTATATATCACTACTCTATTGTGTTGAGTAAGATCATGTTTTATATATCACTACTCTATTGTGTTGAGTAAGATCATGTTTTATATATCACTACTCCATTGTGTTGAGTAAGATCATGTTTTATATATCACTACTCCATTGCGTTGAGTAAGATCGTGTTTTATATATCACTACTCTATTGTGTTGAGTAAGATCATGTTTTATATATCACTACTCTATTGTGTTGAGTAAGATCGTGTTTTATATATCACTACTGTATTGTGTTGAGTAAGATCATGTTTTATATATCACTACTGTATTGTGTTGAGTAAGATCATGTTTTATATATCACTACTCCATTGTGTTGAGTAAGATCATGTTTTATATATCACTACTCCATTGTGTCGAGTAGATCATGTTTTATAGAGAGTAGTGATATATGTATCTCCTATAATAAAGTATTTTTGATTGCTATCAAACAATTTGAATTTAGATTCACATCCAAAGAGCAAGATGCTTTGTTCTTCCAAGTGTATGAACTCTTTTGGTTTGGTTATCTTTCCCAAGCAGTGGTGTGTAATTAGCTACACATCCACTCACACCATTTCGTTCTAATGTGCATCTCGTTGTTCTGGGGGTAACATTCACACGTGTACTTTCAGTTAGATCATTAGGAAAATAACTACTGGATTGTCGTGTATCAAACAAAGAGTATATCTGTAGTTAGTTAATATAACTTTTGAACAGTTTGAACTTTCTATCTCAAACGCTTGTATCCTCAACAGTATCAGTTTCACGTACCCTCTTCAAAGTTTCCATTAACTCTTAATGAAACATAAAATTTTGCCTCAATCTGTGGCATGAAGCAGTCTTTGCCAGTCAAACTTTAATTTCTAGATACTTTTTTAGGTGTCATTTCAGTTCTGGGAGTCACAAGTATTCACCTCACTACTGCTGGGAGTAGTATGACTGCCTGTTATTTTATTGACATTTTTCTGGTGTGGCACTGTCATATTGATTGGATGACAGCAATTCACAGTACAAAATATTAGTACACCTAACATAATCAGTAAGACTGATTACATTTTGTATATATTGCGTGACATTCACCAATTCAACCTTTACTCAGAAGAAAACGGGTCCATGTGTCGAAAGCGCGAAGATTTTAATGAGGTTTCTTATTTGATTTCTCAAACTATTTTTTATTCAATGTGCTTTTCTTTCATATTATGAACACATTCATTAATGTTGTTTCTAAAATAACACGAAAATGTTTTAAATACAGAGTTGTTATCGTTTTCTATAGAAACAGCTTCCTAGATAACTTATCACCAATCTTTAAATCTTTTTATTTTGAGATTTCAAAATGCCATGAACTCCAGCGAGCTATTTATGTTAAAAATGTACCCAAACTGAATAAGTACAAGGCGATTTTACTGAAATTTTAATGAAATATGTTTTATGCTGTCAAAAAATGTGAAACTTGAAAAAAAAAAGAAAGAGTTCCTTGATTTTTGAAATTTTATCTGTGAGGTACCCCAGGGGAAACTTTAAAATATAATTTCATTACTGACAAAATTATGACTATTAAACTAATAATTTGATAATTTGAACCAATATGAAATTAATTGTCATATTAAGTTTCAAAACTCTAAATTGTAAACTATAACGTAGCCTAATGACCTTTGATTTCTATAACTGTATTTATTTATGATAGTGAAACCCAATGTGACAAAACTGAAGAAAACTCAAACCAAAACAAGACTCGGGTTGCTTGTAATAAATTATTCGACAGGGAAAGAACGGCCTGCTGGAGTAGTTCTATCGTGGCCAATGTAAGATAATTTTATTTTATACGATTTTTTAATTTTTCAAGACTTAAATGATGGCTAAAAAAATGTGTTCACTTACTTATATAATCTTATCATTGTTATAAAAAATACCTTTAAAAGTTTCATGTATGGACTCCCCTCTCAAAGACATTGGCTTGGTTTAATTCGCAAATTCATTATTCTGTAGAAGAAACATCCTTTAGGATAGGCCGGAGACGTCCAAACATGCATGTATTGCTAAAAATCAAAGAATGTGATCTGGGACTGCTATGTAATCCCTGGAAAGAAGCTTAAATAATCTTATAAATATAGTTATTTTAATATATAGTTCTATTAGTTGTAATTTATTAAAGGTGATTTATTATCCGCATATTTCCATATAATAAAATAATTTTGCTAAAACTAAACGATTTTTAAAATAATTTAATTGATACTTAACAAAAATCATTTTTATCATTTATGAACTGCTTTAGCACGCTTATATGAATATGGGCCATAATCTGAAGTCTTTTTACAACTACGAAAAAATCGTTCCAAAGGAATCTATTGGTAAATCTTTTGAAGAAAGAAAACCTAATTGTTCCAGGTTAGGAGGCGCCACAAAGACGCGAAAATCGTCTGCTGGAGGTGCCTTCGAACATCTTCCTTGTAATGCTAGAACTACAAAACAACTTGAAACTCTTCCAAACATAAAACACCTGACGGAAGATGTAGAAAGTATTCGGGTCAAGTTTTCAGCTGTGGGTGGGTCATACAGTTATTTAAAAAACGTGCGAGGTGCTAGTAGACAGTCTGAAAACGATATTCCTATCTCAAATGACACAGATCCAAAGCTTAAATCGACAGATAGTATTGCCTCTCAGTGCACGAGTGTCGCAAGCCTTTCAGGTACTAGAGCATCTGAACAACATTTTCTCCGAAGTAGGACAGGTACTCCAAGTGATCAGTACAAATCATCTTCCGAATCAGGACGAGGCACGATGCATAGTGGCGCACAGAGTTTTAAAACTCCATCCTCACTAAAGAGTGCAACGCCCAGCACAGGAAGTAATCTTGACACCAGTGTTGACTCGGATCACAGTGCTTGTGGCGTTCAGTGGCCAAACAGAGTTAAAGCAGCGCCACCGTACGAGGCAACACTAGACACGGAAACTTTCGATAGGAGCGATGGTGTAGAAGCAGAAATGAAAAATATCTTTAAAACACCTAAACCCACAGTACTTTACAAGAAGGAAAAAACAGCTGACGATATTGGCTTTAGTGTTGATGGAACCTGTAGCGAAAGCATGTCTATAACTCCTCCTCTTCCTCCTTTATCTCCACACGAGTCTTCATCTCAAAACTCAAACAGTTCGTCAGAAGATACACCGAAAGCTAAATACAAACCACCCTCAAGGCAAGTTTATTGTTTTAAATATATAAAATGTTTCTTAGTAAAAAAAATAGCAAAGTTTCACATATCAACTGTACTCAGACAACAAATTTTCCCATTTTTATCACCCTGTTGTTCCCTTCTAGGATTACATACCATTACTGATATATCATTCTGTTGTTCCTTACAAGGATTATATATCACTATTAATATATCATCCTGTTGTTCGCTACACTAAATGTATATGCCACTTCTAATATGTCAACATTGCATTATCTTGCTGTTACAGTGTTTATGAATTATATAGGTTGAGTACGTTATATTCAAACAATTTTGAAGCCTCAACACATCGTTATGGTCCTTGTCACCATGTATGGTCATTCTCTATCTGACGACGTGCATCTTAGGAATAGCCCTGAGGCGTAGTTTTTATTGCCAAAGGCTCATCGTAATAGTGTCATCTCCAAAGCACAACCCTCGACACTGTAGTCTTTCTATAATCTATCTAGTATACGTGGGCGACATTTTCCCAGCGACTGTTTCAATATTTTAGTCGCACAGGAATCTATAGAAGCTGCATTTGACAGCTTGGCCAGTATGTCTGCCTATGGAGTAGCACGAATAATATGTCCTGAAAGCAATGTATATCACTTTTTTCAGACGGATATCTTTCTTGATTAATCAGTGTACTGTTGTCTGGGCTACGTGGACGGCTTTTGCCACCAGTCTTTGTGTTAATGGATTGTCACTTATTTCAAGAAGATGCACTTTTATTACCACAGCTGGGATACAACTTGGTACTCCAAGATGATTCGTATATGTTTATTTCCTATGCCCATTTTTGTCAAACTAAATGCCCATTATGAACACATCTTTAGGATATGACTGTATGAACATTTTGTGTCGGAAAGGGCTATGACATACCCTTACCAAAAATAATGAATTTTCGGTGGCATCATACTACTTTCGAAGCGCAAAACAATGCGAAAATAATAATAGTATGTGACATTTTATTGGATAGAAATAGAGAATCGATACACGCGAAGTATAGTGATAATTATCGACCTTTATTGAAAGAAAACACTATGGTCAGCTCTTGTTGTCCAGTTAACCACCACGATATTGATGATAGACCACGGGATCTGACGTTTTATAGAATAATTTTGCAGCCTCATTTTACCCAGTTAGGCATAATAACTGGATCACAACTATATGTTAAAATGATTCTCAGAGTTGGTTTATCAGTAAGCAACTGTGCGTTGTAGTCGTACCTTTAGTTTAAACTATTGAAAACTGAGGAGTCGGCTATCAAAATTATATTCATTTATTTCCCCGAAAAGTGGACCAAAGGCTGCCTAGAGGGGGTCACCTATTTTATCCACTCGCACCCCAGTAGTGTGTTGTCTGTCAGTCAGTCCATAAACACTAGCCCCTCAGTGGCACAGCGGTATGTCTGCGGACTTACAACGCTAGCATCCGGGTTTCGATACTCGTG